CTTAGTACAAGTCTCACGATGGGAGATAGGTTCATAAGTAGAAGTGTAGCAGACCCAACAATATAATCACAAAGATGAATAGCTGGTTGAGTTACCCGGTGCGGCTGACCAGTGAGAAAATCGGTAGGGGGAAGAGCTGGCAAAGAAGGAGGAGACGGACTAAAAGGTGCAAGGAGAGGTGGACCATCAAGGAGAACAGTCTGGCCGGGATCAGGGATCAACAAGGGTGTCTCGATGAAGGAGGAACCTGTATCAAAGTTATTTGAGAAGAGATCTAGGGAAGGATTAGTATAGATGACCGGAGTGGAGAGTGCAGGTAAGTGAAAGGAGGAGAGAGAGGAAAACATTTTGTGCTCCCAGAAAACTACATGCCGGGAGATACGAAGACACTTAAAGAGAGGATCCCAATAGTGAAAGCTTTTATGTTTAATCCCATATCCAAGAAAGCAGCAAAGACGAGAACGAGGTTCAAGTTTGGTGTGTTCATGGGATTGAAGTAGAACAAAGCAGGCAGAGCCAAAACCCCGAAGATTGGTGTATGGAGGGGGAGTGCCATGTAGACGTTTAAAGGGAGTTTGATTATGCATGAAAGGGGAAGGAACACAATTGATAGTGTACACAGCAATAAGGCAGCCTCTCCCTAAAAGTTTTCAGGGCAGGAAGACGAGAGAAGGAGAGCGCGAGTAGTGTCAAGAATATGCCTATGTTTCTGTTCAGCACGCCTATTTTGTTGGGACGTGCCAGCACAAGAACGATGAGGCTGAGTACCATGACTCTGAGAAAGGAAAGGAAATCGGTATTCTGATATTCCATAGCATTGTTAGAGCGAAAAATTTTAATGGTTTTTGAAAATTGGGTGTGGACCATTTTGGCAAAGCTATAATAAAGATGTTTAAGTTCAAACCCAGTTTTCATGAGAAAAAGCCAAGTAAACCGTGAATAATCATCAATAAAAACAACAAAATAACGAGATCCCCTCATAGTAGTAGTAGGGGATGGGCCTCAAATATCGGAATGTATGAGATCAAAAGGAGCACGGGAAACAGAAGGACTTTTATTGAATGATAAAACAAGTTGTTTTGCGAGTTGACAGGGTATACAATCGAAAGTATCTTGAAGTACATGACCCAATTGACCACTAGAAACCAAAGACTTTAAGCGACTAATAGAAAGATGTCCTAAGTGACAATACCAAAGACGAAAATGAGATAAAGAGGAAGTAGATGCAGGAGCAGCGATCTGTGGGGAGTCCGGAACATGAAGTTGAATGAGTTCATAGAGACGTCCATGCTTATGGTTGATCCCAATAGTCTGTTCTGTCTGAGGGTCCTGCACCAAACAACCATTAGTAGAAAATGTGACGATTAGACCAAGCTCACATAATTGACTAATAGAGATAAGATTTAAGGTGAGAGCAGGGATATGATAAACTTGAGGTAAAGATAACTGAGATCTGGAAACAGTCCCAACATGACTGACAGACATGAGAGAATCATCAGCAGTATGAATGGAGAGAAGATGAGTAGAGGGAGAGATGAAAGAGAATATAGTAGAGCTGGAAGTCATATGATTACAATAGGCAAAGTCAAAATACCAAGAAGAGTTACCTGGAGCCACAGACAAAGCAGTAGGAGGAGGTATACCAGAGGTGGAGATAAGCTATTTGAACATGGCCTCAACATCAATTTGAGAAAAAACAGGGGTAGATTGAGTAGGAGACTCAGAGAAATCCTCAGAGGCAGCAGCAGCAGTGCGATTAAACTAACGATGAGAGCTCCCTCTAGAAGGGCCACCGCGAGAGGAGTGGCTAGTGGAAGATGACTGGGATGGATTGCGAAAACAATCCTGCTGCAGATGACCAGGACCAAGTTTGTTGCAATATCGGCAGAATCGGACAGGGCAATGAACCAAAAGATGAGTACAAGGAAGGCCCCGATTTTGACAATAGATGCAAGTAGTGGACCGTTGGGTCGGTGAGGGCCGTGGCTGAGGAGTGGCAAGAACAGAGTCCATATGATGAGTTTGGAGAGTAGCAAGACGAGTCTCCTCAGATAACAGCTCATAAATAGCCTGTTCAAGAGTGGGCAATGGAAGACGATGAAGAAGACAGGCACGCACGGGCTCAAAAGAGGGAGTGAGAGCCATGAGAAAGTGGATCAACCGTTGCTAATTACGATAGGTAGTGAATAAAGCAGCATCTTCTCGGTAAGGCCATGTCGGTTCTGAGAGAGCAAGCTGGTCCCAAACAAAATACATTTGAGAAAGAAAGTCATTAATAGATTGACTGGATTCTTGGCGCATGCGGTGAAGTTGACTTTGAAGTTGATACTAATGGGCAAGACCGGTAGTCTGGTATCGATCTCTCAAAAAATCCCAAATGTCTTTAGCAGGATTAGAAACAGAGTCAAGTTGAAAACGGCCAAACTGAAGACTAATAGAGGGAATAGAGGTATTCCGAAGCCAAGTAATGATCTGGTAGTTCTTACTGTCCCAATCTTCGAGTCAGTCAGCATATGTGGCAGTAGATTCAACGTCATCTTTCACCGGTTTGGTCACATCCCCGGTGATAATACGCCAAAGTTTCTGTCATTTTAGGAAGGTAGACATGGCTTGGGCCCACAGTACATAATTGGAACCATTGAGAAGAACAAAAATTAGATGGGAGGCATCATGGCGATCCATATTAAAAGTGGAGTAGGACTAAATATATAGGAGTAGGCCTGTAGGAGCAAAATTTGGTAAAACAGAGCGTACCAGTGAGTTCGAAAGGTTGAAAATAGCTGGAAAAGGGGCTGCTGTGCGGAGATGACGTCAGTGGAGGGGAAATGATGTCAGCGGTGCACAATAGCAGACTGAAGGCGGCGCACAATAGCATGAAGAGCACGCGACGCACCGTAGCAGAACGGCGCACGCAGGGCGCATGGAAGCAGAACGACGCACGCGGGTGCAAAATAGCAGAACTACGCATGCGGGTGCAAAATAGCAGAACTACGCATGCGGGTGCAAAATAGCAGAACTACGCATGCGGGTGCAAAATAGCAGAACTACGCATGCGGGTGCAAAATAGCAGAACTACGCATGCGGGTGCAAAATAGCAGAACTACGCATGCGGGTGCAAAAGATAAGGGACAAGAGTCCTAGAGTAAAGAGAAGACTTCGCTAAGATAAGGATAAAGCTCTTAGGGAGTTTATCTTTATCTCTTGGGTTAGTAGAGGCCGATCTTTGATCGGGCGAGCGGGGGTGCTCACGAAGTGACCTTCCCCAATCGTACCCAAGTTCCCGAGCCGAGGCAACTTTGGTGATGACGGACACGTGGTCTTAGGCAACGAGTCAGGGTTTCCTAAATTCCTCCAAAATAAAATATTTAGGTGGCGACTCTATATCTGGCAAAGCAGTCCATGTTTAGCACTTCTTTACAAAAAATTTGTTTTCTCAAAAACGATTTGCCGGATTTGAACTCTTTGGTTCGGATTAAGAACCGTGACAATTTGAGAGTCCGAGCTGTAGTGAGCCCAAAACGAACGGAACGGGACTCATCCTCCTGGGGCGTTCGGGAGCGTCTACAGGCGCCGTCTGTGGAAAGAAGGAAGAATAGATGGCCAGTAACAGACAGAAGGAAAGACCACAAGGAGTAAACGCATTCAGGTGTATGAATCACAAAAATTAGAAATTTCAACAGATGCAGTAAAGACCACAAGTAATGAAGAATGTTAACAGAATTAAAAAGAAAGAAACAGTAGCTTACCAGAAGAAAGGAAGCCGGAAAGGATTTGCCGATGTCCTACGACGGTTGCAGGAGCAGAAGACCGGTGGAAATCTCCCCGGAAGGGGTGAACGGAGAAGGTTGCAGAGTTTGGAGCTTCAGTAATGGCGGATTCGAAAGAAAGAGTTAGAGAGAGTAAAAGCAAGAGAAATCGAAGGCAATAGTGAAAAAGTGAAGAAAGACGAAAGAGTTTTGTCGAAAACCTAAAACGGCGGCAAAAGGTAATCAATGCGCCTGGAGCAGCGCATATGTCAGGCGACGTGCGCAAAAAAAACGTTGTTTATAGGCGCGTCATAAACACGGACCAATAAGGTGAAGACGTGTGAGAGAAACGGTTGAGTAAATGATGCGTGACAGCTCACACATATGAAGAAGTTCACTGGAATTCTTGTTCTCCGAAGTGAACATGTCGGCCTGAAATGAATGATCTCGGTTGAGGAGTTTTTGAGCCAATATACAGAAAGAAATATCGATATAGGTCCCATCACCTCAGGATACCGAGGTAATAGAACCTAGGGGGCAGTTGTGGGGATATATTTTCTGAGTACCAACACGTGGCCAAGGTGACGCCGACGTGTCAGCCGAGGTGCCACGTGTCCTGGTCATTGCGCCAAGGTTAACTCGGCGTTGCCAAGGTTATCTCTGAAGATATCGGAATCCGAGATAAACGGATAAAAGATAAGGGACAAGAGTCCTAGAATAAAGAGGAGACTTAGCCAAGATAAGGATAAAGCTCTTAGGGAGTTTATCTTTATCTCTTGAAGAATCCAAAGTAAGTATTGAATTGGAGTCCATAGAAGTCAGGCTTCTAGTGGGACTGGGAGGAAGTTAACTATAAAAGAGAGGCACCCCCGTGGGTCTAAGGTACGCAGTTTATGCTTTGAATAGTGAGTTTAGCACTTGATTATCTTTGAGAGATATACTGACTTGATCGTCGGAGTGCCCCCGGGTGGAAGAACTACCGCCGGAGCCTTTTCTTTCTATTACAGGTTTGCTGAAGTCATCTATTCTGCTAGTGCTCTCCAGCTGAATACTGAGTCGGGCAGTGTGGTCAGAAAATCACCCACACAATTAACAACAACATCATTTTCATCAACAACAACATTATCAACAACAACATCATTTTCATTAACAACATCATCAAAAAAAAAAAAAAAAAAAAACAGAGTCGAAAGAAACAGAGTGGGATAGACACACACACACACACACACACACACACACACACACACACACACACATATACACACATAAATGAGTACTGAGATATGAGAAAAAGGGAATCGGCAATGGTGGTGGCGGTGGCGGTGGCGGGATCTGCTTATATCTGTTGTGGCGGAGGGAGGAGGAGGCGGTGAGAGGCGACGAAGGAGGAGGTGGTGAGAGGTGATCCAACTACGGAGGAGGAGACGACGAAGCCATCGCCGACTGCGGAGAAGGAGACAACGACGCCGTTGCCAACTACGCTATCGGAGGAGGAGGAGAAGGAGAGAAAAGAGAGAGTGAGAGAGACAGATCAGAGGGGAGAGTGAGAAAGACATATCAGAGGAGAGAGTGAGAGGAGAGAGAGAGAGAAAGAGTGAGAGATAGATCTGAGGGAAATTAATAAAGGGTATTATGGTAATTTTATTTTGGGGAGAAACGGGGCCGAGGATGGGGCCGGGACTTTGAAAGTTATCCCCGTCTTTGGCTCAAAATTGATTGGAGATTCAATTTTAAATACCATCTCCGGCCCATCAAAAATATTTTTCGAGAAAAAATCACTCTTATCAAGAATAGGGGTCGGGTCTCCGTCGGGTCAGGTTTAAATTACCATCTGCACTAACGACGTGCTGCCTATGTGGAAAATGATGCAAAGTCGTCCATTTCTCTCTCTTTTTTATTCATTTCAAATTTCAAATTCATGTTCACAATTGAAGTCTCGCTTTCTATTCTTCCTTCTCTTCTCTGTTGTGACTCTCCTTGGCGACCTCCCCGACGAGCGCAGCTCTCCAACACCGGCGACCCGACGAGCACAGCTCTCCAACCCTGGCGACAATCGAGGTTGAACGCAGCTTCTACAACCCCAGCGACCGGACGAGCGGAGCTACTGACGACAACGAGAGTCACTCACGACGACCAACGACGATCGAGTCTGTCTCCGTCTTCCCACCGGACTCGCTTCTCTCGATCTCCATGTCAGTTCTCTCTCTCTCTATCTATATATATATATATATATGCCCTGATTTGTTGAGATTTTTGTGACTTTGATTTGTTGAGATTTGTGTGACTTTGACTTTGATTTCATCTGTTTAGGAGGATTTTGATTTTGATTTGCCCCAACTTTACATTACATTGGATTTGCGTAAAAAATCAAAAACATATATTTGGTGGAGAATATATAAAAATGCTTAATCATCCTTCAAAGCCACTGCTAAATCTTTCCTTCTTTCTTCACGTTTTTGGTGGACACTGAGTTATTTTGTGGACACTGAGTTACACTAATGAAGTTTGCATCCTATGTCCTGTGTTCACTGAGTTACACTAATTAATTATAGAAATAAATTTTGTGTGGTCTATAGAAATAAATTTTCTGTGCAACTTATTGAGAGAACAATGACCCTAAGTTCTGTCAAATCCATCAACTTTAATTGAAAAAAAAATAAATTCACAACACATTTCAATTGAAGTCACTTTGTTTGGAGGAAATAGAACAGTCTAAAGTTTGTGTCTAATGGGTTACCTCATTTTTTGGATTGATGGGTTAGAGTCATTATGTGTTGTATTGAAATCTTTGGGCACTTGAGTTTATTGCAGAGACTGTAGTTGTCAACATTCTATGAAGGAGAAACTAAATATACTTTTCAATTTGTTGATATGCACATAATAAGCATGTTTCATACAAGCTCTTTTGTTTTTTTACATTAATTTTCTAATTTTGAAGGAGAATTAACAATTTGGTGTAAGTTTAAAAAAAAAAATTCAGATCAATGATGAAGTTTACAAACTTCAATAATTAAAATTTTGCATTTTTTCATGAATCTGTAACTATTTTAAAAGGTTACCATTGATTTGTAATTTGTCCATTGATGTGGAATATGTACCTGCATTGATGTGGAATATGATTCTCTAGCCTTTGTAATCCATCCTTTACAAAGTTTCACCCTCATTTTCCCCACATGAAACAAGTGAACAGAATTTGATGAATTTTTGTCCATTCATCTGGGAAATAACTACTTGTAGAACAATGAATATTAGAATGATAACATCTGAATGATACTAGAAATTGAATCAGATGTCCCATTGCAAATAACCAATCTTGGCAGCCAAGTTTTATATTCTGATCATATGTAACTAGTACTTCATGATCATGCTTTATCTGATCATCAGAGAGTGAAAAACAACAAATTCTTCGATGGATTTAAGTTCAACATTGTTGTCAGGTGATGCCCCAAATCCATAATCTTTCGATATACATGCAAATCCCTTAAATTCTCAGTCCTCTTTGTTATATATATATATATATATATATATTTTTTTTCACATTCCCATTAGATATAGCTGTTGTCTTTCTTATTTATTCATTTATTCGTCTTCTCTAATTTATTATTATTTTTATTTTTTTAACTGCTTGCTTTTTTGCTTCGTTTTCATTTTTGTTTTCCCTTGAAATTCTGGATACATTTTTACCAATAAGAGATTTTGTGTTTTAAAAAAGGGAAAATGGAAGATAAAGTACACATACCTAAGAAAAAAGAAAAGGAAAAGAACATATATCACAAAATAATTATAACAAAAGATCCTAATCTGGTGGGCTTGAAAGATGCAAGCTTGTCATGAACAATTGCATTTTTTGGATATTTAGGAAGTGGGTATCTGGACAGTTAATTGTAGATGAAATTGTGGCAAAGAACTCTTTGAAGTTTGATTTTTGACAGAATTTTTGGTTACAGCATTGATACGGTCAACCATATTCATGGACGAATTAACCAAACGCGTTATGAATTAATCCAAACTTTAGATACATCTTTTACTCATTTCCTCTCCCCCAAACAATCCACTATTGACTCATCAATCTGACTCGTTTAACTCAGTAGAAGTTGGGAGTTCACATTGAGTAAAACAGGTTCTGGATTTCTGGTTATGGAATCAATCAATCAATCAAAGAACGAGGAAGAAGAAGAAGAAGTGTTTGGATTGGAGTTTTGTTTGACCCATCCTGGGTTTCTCTTTCTATATCTACACATATTTATATATATATATATATATATATGCTTTGTGCTATAAATTTTTGTGTTTTAATCTTAATGTTGTCTCAGATTCTCTGTTTCATTGTTCTGCAATCACTGTCTGTGTTTGAGCTAGATAAAATTTTTAGGGTTTTTATTAAAATTTGTAGATTGAATGAGAATTAGCTGTTAAGGATAAAGAAGCTATGGATTTGGGAATGATGAAGTAGAAAATTGCACTGGTGGGTTAATTTTGTTTATTACTAATGTAGCTAGTTATCTATTTTTAAGAACCTTTTTTTGTCTTTGATATAACAGAGCAAATTTATGAACATAGTAGCGAAGCCAATGGAAACTTTTGGTGGACTAATTTGAAGAAAAGGAAATGCAAACCCTTCATTAATTTTTTCTGTTTAATTTGATTCTAAATTTGAGTAAAAAACTTGATTTGATACAAACTACTCCAAGCTTTTCTTCAAAATCAAAATCTTTTTAAAAATTCCCCTCTTACCTCAATTTCCCCTTTTCATTAGATTTGATGGGGGAAAATCATCTCCAATGCTTTGTCTTTTTAAATTTTCATCAAATTTAAGTTTAATGAATTCTCAAAAAAAAAAAATGACTTCCTTGATTTGATGAACATTTGATGAAAGGATTGGAGATGATTTTTGAGCACTTTTTTATCAAATTCTGAATGGTTCTTTTTAGGAGATCGAAATGGTAGGAAAAGGTGCAAGTTTTATGATATAACCTTTTAATAGAAAAAATGATTTTATCCTGTGGCAAGAAAGGGTGAAAAACATTCTAACACGGGAGGGTTTGGTGAAAGCTCTCAACAAGAAGTCCAACAAACCGGCAGACATAAGGGATGACAAGTGGGAAGAGTTGAGAGAATTGGCAAATAGCACGATCCAGTTATATTTCGGGAATAACACACTCTGAGAAGTCATCAATGAAGAATATCCGACAAAGCTTTGGGCAAAGTTGGAAATGAGATAGAAGTCAAAGTCCTTGACAAATCAGTTGTCTTTGAAGAAGCAGTTGTATGCACTTCAAATGATAGAAGGACCAAACCTTACAAAACATCTGAACAAGTTTAACAGGCTCACATTGGAGTTGGATTCCATCGGGGTGAAGATCGAGAAGGAAGATCAGGCTATTATCTTGCTGGTCTCTTTACCTTCATCATATGAGCATCTCAGGACTACTCTAATATACGGAAAGGATACTCTTGGACTAGATGAGGTGGTTGCTACGCTTATTTCTTATGCGACGATGAAGAAAAAGGAAAGCGGCAAGCACCTAGAGGGAAATGCCATGGTTGCCTTAGAAAATGATCAGGGCAGAGGTAGGTCCAATGATAGATGGAGTAGGTCCAAACCAAGAGGGGATTCACAATCAAGGCTAGTCTATAGGAGAAAGTGCTACTATTGTGATTAGGAGGGTCACCTCATTAAAGATTGTGTAATCCTCAAAGAGGATAAGGCAAGTAAGGAAAATGCGAGCTCATCAAATGTCGCAACTGTAGTGAATGCTAAGGATGAGTATGCATTCACAGTTTTGTCGAGTATGACGAAACCTGATTGGATTTTAGATTCCGGTAGGATGTACCGTATATGCATGGAGAAGAGATATTTTTTCACCTACTAAGTGATGGACGGAGGTATTGTTCGGATGGCTAACAACACTGTGAGTAAGATTGTTGGTGTGAGAACAGTACGACTCCAAATGGAAGATGGAAAAATTTTCACTTTGGATGGGGTCCAACGCGTGGTGAGATTGAGGAAGAAACTAATTTCCCTAAGTATGCTAGATTTGAAGGGTTACAGCTTTTCATCTAGCAATGCAAATCTCAAAGTTATCCATGGGGATATGGTGATGTTGCATGGATGACTAAAGGGGAATTTGTACAGACTTGTAGAGAAAGTCGTGACAAAAGGAGCTACAGTCACTCACCGGGCAAGGAGTACAAGATATGCACAGAAAAGACATAGGGATCATACATGGCAACTAAAGTGTATAGGAACTCATGGAGGCAATCCGAAGGTGCATAGAATGGAGCCATTGAGGCCAATCTTGAAGAAAACTCAGAGCAAAAAGACCAAGACGGCAGAGCACGTCCCAATAAAGAAAAGAGTTTCTTTTGCTCCTGTATTAGAGACATATTGCGATCTCTCCAAGAGTGTATGGAAGGGAGAGATGCAATCACAACGAGTTGCAAAATAAGCTTTGCATGGCACCCTAGTGATGGGGTGTAGGGCACTCCAAGCAAGGGTTGCAGACATCCAATTAGGGGGTGCTAGTGTGGATCACCTCACATAGGTTAAGGGGGGTGATTTGTAGAATATCACCCCATGTGAGGGGTGATCTTTCTCTCCACTGAAAGCAGTTGAAAACAGCCAACAGGAGGAGCTCGTCTCAAGGTACCGAAAGAGGAAACAATTGGCCATCTGCAAGGCCAACCAATCTCTCCATTTTCTTCCTTGGTGTATAAGTATAGGGAGATGTGAGAGTGTGAGGAAGAAGGGAAGAACACAAGTAATATACAAGTGAGTGTGTATTTCTATGAAGGTGAGGGAAAAACCAGTGAGTGTAAGGCAGTAGCGAGTGTGTGAATTGAGTGAGAGAGTCTCCTCCTCTGTTGTAAGCTTTATTTGTTTTAGTGGAAATCTCTGGTTTTCTCTGTGGACGTAGGCATTGAGGCCGAACCACGTAATCTTGTGTTCATTATTGTGTGTTTGATTTCTGGTAGTTTAGGTGGGTTGGCCTTAAAACCCAACAATTGGTATTGTTGTGATTCTATCTTTTCATCATTTACGGCATGATTTATTATTATTTTATCTATTTTTTATTTTATTTTTAATGAGCAAATAAGTATTGTTGTTGATTTATGTTTTCCTATTATGCTTAAAAGATGTGCATTTACTTTGTACCCTTCTCTTTGCAGATTATGCTGAGGTGATTCAAGCATCATAATGAAGTTGAAGGTAGTCTTGAGGAAAGCCTTTGATTATGTTCGTTATGATCTGAAAGAAATTGCCTTCCCTTCATCTTTGCCTGATCCACCACATGTCAAAAAGCTTCGAAAATTAACTTGGAAAGAGCGATCTCTTGTATGTTCTGTATCATTCTTATCTTTTTAATTTATGGTGATACATGCTTTGGTTAAGAGAGAGGGAGAGAGAGATTGAATGAAGTGTGTTTGTTATATTCAATATATTGTTTACACGTGATGATTCTCATTTATAAAGAGGAGAACCGAAAGAAGAAATAGACAACATAATTAAAGCTATGCACTATGTATACATAATAATGAAAGTGTTGTGTCTTTGCATCCTTTACAGCTTACAGCTAATGTATATAATATATACTAAAGCTATGCACTATGTATACATTGGTACGAATTCTTTTACTAACAATCCTCTCACTATTAAAGTGGAAATAGAATGGAAGGGATTATTAGTAAAGGAATTGATAATGAGGAGATTAATAGTGAGAGGATTGTTAGTAAAAGAATTGATAGTAAAGGGATTAATAGTGAGAAATTGTTAAATTATTTTTATATAAAATAATAAAACAACTAAAAAAATATAAAAATTAAACATTAATATTTTAAAAAAAATTCCCAAAATAAAAAAAATAAAAAAATTTCTAATCTCCTCACTATTTTTCTAATACCATCTTTACCTCCTCACTATGAATCCCCCTTCTAAGGATATTAGTAATACAAAGGTATTAGTAGTCCCAAGGCCATCTCTCAAAACAAACAAGATATTAGTAATACCAAGGTATTAGTAGTCCCAATCCCTTTCCTATAACCCCAAACAAACAGGGCCTTAAATCAAAACTACTCTTTTTTGTTTTAAAAACATCAAACTGGAATAAAAAAATAGGTCCCGGAAAACCAAAGCAATAATTAGTTGGACTAACAATTGCAGTCGGATACGTACAAGCAATAAGAGCTGTCAACATAAACTTGTGCTCTTCAGCCCTCTTTTTTGTATTCATTCACATGCAACCCTTCTTATAAAGATAGATTGCACATGACCTGCCACCATAGGGATACAAATGGAAACAGTAGTTAGGCATTATACAAATTGCACCAATACTTCAGAATTCGTACTCGAGAAATCACCCTAGTAGTATAAGCAGAAGTGTAATAGTAATTAAGTTCTATTTTTTCATTTAAGAAACTGATTATTTGAAATTAAACAAACACAATACAAGTACAAAACAAAATGATGTATTTGATCTTGGATTCATGTAGGGATTTGCAGAGGGAAAAGAAAAGGGAGGGGAAAAAAAAACCTCTACGAATCCATGTGTAAGAACCCACATTTTGTGTCTTAGTCACGTTCATGAGCATCCGTATGATTATGGCTTGTTAAACTTGCATTGTGTGTTATGACTTGTTTTGCTTAAGTGGGTAAGTCCATGCCTTGTTTTGAAGTCTTGTGATTTGTCTAAGTGTTGTGTACTTGTCTTGTTTCTTCCTTGATGTGAAACTTAGGTCACGCCTTGCCTAAGTTATGTTAGCCGATGTTATGCCCAGCCTAGGTTACGTTACGCCTAGATCATTCCAAGCCGAGGTCATCATCCGTCTAGAAGTGTCTTGGAACCCCTTTGTCGACCTCCGTCCTTGCCTTGCCACATTGGCCGAGATGTTACCTTTGCACCCAAGTGATCTCGTCCTGGAGTGGTATAACCTAGACCGAGGTGTGGCACATCTAGGCCGAGATGTGGCACAGCTTAGTCAAGCGTTGTCCTTCCTGGCCGAGGTCATTGTCACAATAGTTGCCGAAGCCCTTTTGTTAGCCGATGTCACCCCTTGCCGGAGTGCCATTCCGTATAACTTGTTAGATACGCCTTGTTATTAGCCGACATCGTTGCCTCGTCAGAGTGCCCATACCGTTTTACTTGTCGAACACTCTTTCGCCATGCTTTTGTCTGACCTGTCAGCCATCTTTTTGAGGAAACCCAACCAGTCGCTGCCATGTGTCCCAGCAGAGGGTTAAGTCTGGAACCAGCCAAGAGAACCTATCATTTTGTATCATAACCTTGCCTTTTAGAGAGAGAAGCTCTAGGAGGAAGAAGAAGTTTTAGAGTGAGAAAGTAAGTCTTCTAGCTCGATTCCAAGAGATCGAAGCGTTTGGTTCGTGTATTGAGGTTAGATCCTTGGCTTGCTCTTGTTGTTCCTTGTGTTTAGCTAGCTGCATTGCATGATCGAACCTGTTCTGCACGTTATGCATTGATTTGAACTGATTTTTAGAAAGAGAAAATGACATTCATATGTTCTTCAAGAAAAGTCATGTTTTGATCCGAAAGCTTTTGCCTAGACTCATGTTTTGTGTTTGTTCTTGCATGATTTTCAAGTATGGGTACCCAGGTCCAAGTTTTCGAACTCGTAGCACGAAAATCTCAGATTTTGTAAACAAAGAAGTTATGATTTTGGCATTCATGTCCTTCACGATCTTCATGATCATGTTCTTCAAAGGGGAACCCAGGTTTTCCCGACCTTGCTTTTGAACGAGGCCGACGGGACCACACCTCGGCAAGGAGGCGTAGGACCTCGGCTTAGACCTGGTTGGTGCCCAGTATGTTTTCCGAAATCATTTGCATGCATGTTAGACTTGTTTTGAGAAGTATGTTCAAGTATGCTTTGCCATGTGATTGTAGGACTCGGACCCTTGCTTGACCCCGACGTTTGAAGAATTATGTGAGTGGTATTTTTAATAAAGCTATGTTACACTTGTTTTGATAAATCTCGTTTTGCCCTGTCTCGAAAAGTATTTGATTTAGCATGAATGACTATCCCTATTTGTATATCAAGCACTATCTTGTTTTGATGACATTTCTTGAAAGTCCTTAGTTGCAGGGGACTATAATGCAACTGCACTCTTGTCTTGGAATGTCATCACCCCTTGTATTAATTAGATGTTATTAACATCCAAGGAACTTGAAAGCTGGCAAACGAACTTGATTTCTCCCCTTGATTGTAAAGTATGCTATGTATTGTTTTAAAAGAGATCTTGGATATCAATCATGCAAAACCTTTATTTCTAATATCATTCACTGAGTATTCAAGCTCACCCTCTCTATATATATGTAGGTGATGAACAAGAAGGCATTGAGGCCTAGGCGTGATGCCGATGTGTTTTTGGGGCGCATTGCCGACGTGTTTTGGATTAGCGTTTTGTACCGTCTTGAAGATTATGCTTCTCGACTTATGTTTTTGTTGTTTTGGAATATGTCGGCTTGAGAAGCCTTTTGGTCAAGATGTATTTTGTATCTCATTTCCTTATTGTATCTAAGTTGTAAGACTTGTAAAGATGCTTGATGTACGTTATTCCATTGGACTTATGCACGGCTCTCATGGACTACTCAGTTATATATATATATTATTTTGCTTCCGCACTTGTAAGCCCCATATTTCATACTCTGATTGTGTGTGATTTTTGTAAGTCGGCCTTCGATAACCCCGGGTTACTGGCCATCACGGCACCAAACTACTAGGGGCGGTTTGGGGGCGTGACACCATGATTCAAACACACTGAAGAGCACAAGTTTATGTTGACAGCTCTTATTGCTTGTACGTATCCGACTGCAATTGTTAGTCCAACTAATTAGTGCTTTGGTTTTCCGGGACCTATTTTTTTATTCCAGTTTGATGTTTTTAAAACAAAAAAGAGTAGTTTTGATTTAAGGCCCTGTTTGTGTGGGGTTATAGGAAAGGGATTGGGACTACTAATACCTTGGTATTACTAATATCTTGTTTGTTTTGAGAGATGGCCTTGAGACTACTAATACCTTTGTATTACTAATATCCTTAGAAGGGGGATTCATAGTGAGGAGGTAGAGATAGTATTAGAAAAATAGTGAGGAGATTAGAAATTTTTTATTTTTTTTATTTTGGGAATTTTTTTAAAAATATTAATGTTTAATTTTTATATTTTTTTAGTTGTTTTATTATTTTATATAAAAATAATTTAACAATTTTTCACTATTAATCCCTTCACTATCAATTGTTTTACTAACAATCCTCTCACTATTAATCTTCTCATTATCAATTCTTTTACTAATAATCCTCTCACTATTAATCCCTTCACTATCAATCCCTTCCATTCTATCTCTGAAAATAAACGGGGCCTAAGTCTTTTCAACTGCTGCTTTTTTGATGTATGATAATAGAGCGTGGAAGCACTCCTGAAGGTTCCTTTTGCTTTAATTTTAAGCACGAGGTTTGCCTAATTTGGTTGCTTTTTTGGCTTAAGTTGAAAATGTTTGCTGGTAGTTGTATTTTGGTTAAACTTCTCAGATTTTCAGCTTATATGTTTTGTCAACTCAAAAAGCTCAAAATAAGTTCAAAAAGCTTACTTATTAAGCTGCATTTAGATGCTCTATTATTTATTTATTTATTTTTTTTAAGTTGCAAAAAAGTTATACTAAACAAGGCATATTATGTGGTGTTTTTGTATGGAATGATATTAAAATAGAACAAAAAGAGAACTGATAGACATGTTTCCTGATAAACTAGCATATATTTTGAATTGTCTGCTTTTAATCAGATACAAGAATTAGTGGTTTAGGCCTTTTATTTTTTTTATGGGTAAATTACATTGACACCCCTTGAGGTTTGGTCCAATTACTACCCATCCCTTGACGTTTTGGAAATTATATTCTCACCCTTGTGGTTAATATATTTATTTTACAAACTCCCCTGTTTATATAAAATGTAACAACTCCTAGTAGAAAAATAGAGAAAATTACATTAAAAAAAAAAAAGTAAAGGAAAGGGAGAAAAAAAGAGAAAGTAAAGCAAAGCAAAGGAAAAAAATAAAGAGTGCATGAATTCAATATTTTCATTCCGTCTAAATAATTACAATGATAGGGGGATTAATGTAATTTTTCAAACGTCAGGAAGTGATATGTATTAAACCTAAACTTCAGGGGGTGTAAGTGTAATTTATCCTTTTTTTAATCATCGAGTAATTATAAATATGAGAAATATTACATCAAATAGAACACTATTAATAGTTAGGAAGTCAACAATCACCAAATCTAACAA